CTAATCAAAAAAAGTAGTAGCCAGTTTAATTTATTTAATATTTTTCTCTTTTGTTTTTGTTTTTTTTGCTTTTTTTACAAAAAACCCCAGCTAAATACAGAATTCACAATGTTCCACAGTTTGTCATTTTTAATCAGCGAGTATAAATCCTGCTAAATGCAGCCATTAACATTTTATTGCATGACACCCCAGATTTCTGCCACGTGTATCAAAGATGGTTTGAGCTTATATATTTATATATATATATACTTTGTACCAAGAAGGGAAAGGCAAGGAGGTGCAGTGCAATTGTGCACCAAAAGAGGATGAAGGTCTAATGCTGGCAGAGATTTCAAATAAGAATTAGCAACATAGATGGACACATGCAATTCACCTTAATTTGAAATGTCTTTGGAATCCATCACGTATTATTAAGATGTATAGTGAGAACACACAAAGTCATGAAGCTCTATTTCTGGTTAAGGAAGTCTCTTTTGCTCAGAGGTAGAGTCTCATGGCAAATGTTAATTGTAGGGGTACATATACCCCCTCCACAGGATCAGTGAAAGATGCTGGGGCAGTGATCACTTGCAGAAAATAAAGTTCAGTAGTTTGTAGAATTCTAGGTAAATTACTAATGAGTTTAATAACTTTACATGCAGTGATACTGCCATGTGCCTCTGATGGATGTGGCATTTTCATAAAGTTCTTCCCCACAAATAAGAGAGTAGAGATCAGCTTGGTTTTTAAATCAGAAACTGAACATTAGATGTAAGGCCTCTTTATCCTTCCCAGTGCAAGTCAGATACATAAGAGCCAAATTCCAAGTCACCTGACTCTTAAGTTTCCTCTAAGCTGAAACTTAAATTTAAAAACACCCCGATCAGAAATTGATGAGACTATTACAAACTGTACATTACAGAAAAATGTTATTAGGGATTTACAATGAGTCAACTCCACTACTGCTAAAATGAAATAAGCCCCTGCTTAAGCAACATATTATTACTAGATGTGGTCAAGAACAATAGCTCTGCTCTAAGTACAGCTACTGCCATTATTTCTATTCTATCCTCACCCCCATAAACCAGTTTCCTCCCCCAACATTATTCTGGTGTCCTTTAAGTATTATTACAAAATGTACTGAAACGCTGCTGCACTGCTAAACTCAATGCAACAAAGATTCATCAACAGATTAGGAGTGCACGCATTTGCAGTATATAACCAAGGCCAATCTAAGCTCTGAAGCCTTAATTACAGCCTAGAATTTTGTGGACTATAATGCGATTTGACGTCACTAACGTATTGTCTAGAAACATTACAGCTGTATTGATGCAGGTCGGACCGAATGGTAATAGCTCCATCAGGCCTTAAAAGACATTAATGCATACCATACCACCAGATCCAAGACACTGTCACTACTTGCAGTACACATTTCTGCAAGACATCAGCATTTCAAGCACTTTCCTCCTCCCCGTATTTTTATAGTAGTATGAAGCTACTAGCCACAGTATCTCGTAACTGGCTAGGCTGTTACCAATTACACACTATATCTAGAGTCTCCATATACTTTTATTACTTGCGTTTTGGCTCAAGGGATGGCCCATTTAGCTCTGCAGTGGTTGCGTTGCTTTGTCACTCCCGCTAGTTTTGTTGGTCTTTGCCACGAGATTCTGTTACAAGGAGTCCTACGCACGGTAGCTGGTACTGCACTGACAAAATAGTTCAAACATTTTCCTACATTCAGAGCTTCTTAGTAAAGACTATATTGGAAAATGGAATGGCCAGATACTAATTTTGTCCAGGTTGACCGTAGGATGCTTCTTTCCAGGACACTCCGTTCTGTGGACTTGCTTGCAATGCTGTACATTTTATGCAAGTGCAATGAAGCCAGTCCTTCCCAAGCAGGAGATTGAATGGGGGAGAATAGTGCCTTCAGCATGACTGGATGGCAGCTAATTTTTGGTAGCTGACTGAGGGAAGACTACATTACCTGGCTCTCTCATTCGCTCTTTTCCATCACTTCTGACCTAGATTTCACTGTCTGTTTTGGCACTAGCTCTGCAGATGCAGAATTTGATTGCTTTTCTCCCATAAGGATGTTTGCGCTGCCTTTTCACTGCACACTAAAACGAAGCCCGAGGCTTTCTCTGCACAGCAGCCACATGTTCCCCACCCTCACCTTTGCAGAGCACTTTGAAGATAAAGGTTTGATTATAGCTTTATCATCCTGCTTTAGGTTTCAGATTGTGAACAGGGCTGTTGCTCACATGGACCATATCTACTTTTAGTTATTACTGTTAACAGTAAGTCCTGACTGTAGGATTTCCTGATGCTCTGCTTGAGATGGTCTTCTCTCACTGCATGCTAAAACCTATTTAGGAATTTAAGCCCTCAGCATACAGACCGCACTGAAAAGGCTAAAGAGACCCCACAAAAGAGAAACAGCACATAAACAGCATAAAAACCTGAAACTATTGTTTCCATCCAATAAGTGCATAGTACTGGTCACCTAAGGACAGTATTAGGAACCGGCTTCTTTCAAGACACTGCAGTACACACTATAAAACTGAATACAAAATACATAATACACACTGATAGCGTTGTGGAAGACAGACAGTTGGTATTTGTGAAAAATATGACTGAAAATAGTATTATCTACAATGCAGACATCCCTTGAGAACCGATTTAAATATATCACTCTGAAGTACACAAAATGCCCTGTGTGGCAAGTCACGAAAATGGGACTAAATCTTGGGACGCGAGCAGGGAAGATACAAAGAATAAGACCATCAAGTCTAGATTTACAGGAGATATTTACATGAATGAACTCAGTAGCCTTTAACATCTCTATATACATGGTCTATCTATATATGTACATAGTATATTATGGGATCGGGAGTTTTATCCCCAAAGCAAACAAACAAACAAAAAAAGAAAATACCTTGATAATTCACTTGCAAAAAATGTTTACAGGTTACAGAACTTTTCTGTCGTGAAAACACAGTTCAAGACTAGACAACTGACATCTTTTGGACTTCAAGTCCATCTTATTTAAGAGGTGTGTGTTACTGCTAGATCATATGGTCACTACAAAAAAAAATCTGAAGACTTACTGGACAGGATGGTTATTTCAGTAAGTTATGGCTGCATTTGTATTATTATTCACAGACCAGCAGATTATTATAACTGAAACAAGCAAGCTAGTCAAAATCTTGAATCCACACAAGTAAAAAACACTGACCTCTGACTGAGCCACAGAAGACTGGACATATACATCATGAGCGTTCCCCACATGGTCACCTCTACAGCTGGGACACATGCAGTATGGGAATGGTTATCAACACGGATGAAGCTAAACAGTTAATTTAATGTAAGATGTATCCAGATTTTATTTCACACACATACTTAAACATGACAATTTAGGAGGAACAGGGCAATGCAAGGTTCTGACTTCACCCTTCAATTACACAATGTGATCTGGTTCTCTCCCCTAAAGTCCAATACTTGAGGTGCTGCAAAAGATTATGCATGGTAACAGGGTGGTTATGATTTCTTTCCCCACCTCTCCTCCTTCCCGTCCCCCTTGTCTTTTCACTTGTACTTCTAGGCTTTCAAGAGTTTATTGCCTTATTATCTACAGCATTTCCAGCATCTAATGCTAAAAACACAAATTCACTTCAGAAATAGCATGGCACTTGCTGGGTGAGCAGCTCAAAGGTTCCCCATCAGACACAGCGGGTCAAGACATCTCAGGGCACGTGCACACACAAAATCCAAGACGGGTGCGTTATTTTATGCAGTGTGAAAACAAAACCTACATCTTTGACAAAAATGTTTATAGCTCCAGAATTGTCTTTGGAGCTGGGGGTCCACATGCATTAGCAGGCTGGATCAGGAGCTAAATGATGTAAGGCTACAGGCAGGGTCTGGGTTGGAAAGTATATAAGCAGTATAGAAATAGCCGTTATGCACCTGCAGTTTGGGGGGGGGGG